TTCTATAGCTTACGCATGGCTCGAAAAAGAAAGTTTTGGTTTTCTCTGCCCTAGTGTTATTCCTTGACATTCAACAAAATATGAAGAGTGATTGGGTTGATAATAAATTCTTCACATGGAATTGATTGGTCCATTAATCATTGGTCACATACCAGTGTGGCCAGACGTACCTTGGTCAAACTCTCCTTTTTTATTNATTCTTCATAAAAGGCAAGAGCATTTTCTCGTAAAATACGTGTGCGTCATAGTTCTTCCAATCCATGATTGGGGATCGGTCTACAGCTGATTTCGAGTGTTAGGTTGGACATTAGAAGATCAAGAACTTAGAGGACGCAGCGAAAGCGACCCGGTACCTTGCCACAGAGGACTGGCGATTGTACCTGGCTTCTACCTTTTCACAACTGCACAAGAGCTGAATAAGATAGGCCAGAAGCTCGGATTTATCCGAGTACCTCATTAGTCGTCAACTTCCGATTTTGAAAGAAGGACAGTCACATGTCACTCTTTCCCTCCTCTGAACCGAGAGCTATCTCTCTTGGCACGCTCAACCTGAAGATGAGTAGTAGGGTTTCACGAAATTTCTGTGAGGAAGAGACAGTAGGATCAGGATGAGGAACCGGAGCATGTCGTGCTCCCCTTTTATTGGTATCTGGATGTGAGACGAATCACTTGTAGCTCCTATTCTATGGGTAAGTTAATAGCAACAAGAACTATGTTTGAGAATCATATTGAGCGTACACGTGTGGATGTGCCAATTGCCATCCACCACGAAAACGCCAAGCCGCACATGGCGAAGTTGACGCAGGACAAACTAGAAAGCTATAGCTGCCTGATTATCCCCAGACTCTGATCCTATAAGCCAGACCTCGCTCATTAGATTATTAGCTATTCGGCCACCCCGAGCATCCCCTCCCAGCGTCCTAAGCCCGGTTCTCGATCCTTCTCGATTGGATCGACGAGCTGCTGCAGCATAAGCGTAGAGTGGTGGCTAAGAAGGGTATAAACCTACATACGATCTCTGTTTGTGGTCGCTTTTGAAAATTCGTAACAAAGTGGTGTGAGAAAAATTCTAAAAGACCCTTTGATTCGTTGAATACATTCTTTTCTCCCACAGTATAAATGTTCGGGAAAACCACGACGATTAGGAATGAAATGCCAAAAGGATGACATGATATGGAACAGATGTGAGGAATGCAAAACAAAGACGAAAGTCATGCAGGCAACTTTGCTGCACTGAAAAAAACCTGAGACTCTCCACTCCCATTCGAACACCTATGACGAAGCCCAAACGACAGATTGGCGGAACAAAGGAATAAGCTTCGGAGGAAAACTCGTAATGTCCGGTGCAATCGGGATTTGTCGCCTTTTTCTTTTGCCTCGATGAAACTCCTTCTTGGCTCGATTTCCCCAGAGAGTTCAAAAGACCACAATTACCTTTATTTGGATTACGCGGGAGCCATAGAGCAGAGGGCAATGCTTAATCTTCAGATAAGGGGAATTGCTCTGAATTGGGTACCGAATGTGACTTTCATATATAACATTCTTCTGAGAAGATTCATGAACGGAAGATTTGGGAAAAACAGCGGAAAACAATGTCTAAGCTGCTACATTCAACCAGAAGTAGGCAAACAATTACTCTGAGTAAGTGGCCTAAACAAACTTCTCTTACTCTATTTCGAGTTCTCCGTAATTGGCCCATGCGGCCAAGTAGCCCAGCCATAGAACGCATGCACAAATACAAAAGAGCAACTTTTATTCCCAAATGAGTACTAAGTGACTGGGGAATGAGACAGAGGAAGATGGAACAAGTGCTGAACTGAATAATCGGATGTAAACAAACATATTCTCTCCGGAGGCGTGGGGATTTTGTTGCAGGGGACATCCCTTCGTAATCAATAGCATCTCACGGGGACTCGTTTTGGAAAGCAAACAAAAAACATTTAATGACTCAAGGATAACAAGGAAAGCGGAATGTTTTTCTTTCAAGTAAGAAAACTTCATTGATAAGATGCTCGAAATCTCTTTGATAACGTACTTTTTGCTTTCTGTTCAATGGGCTCATGATTCATGAGTTATCGTTGGCGATTAACGATAATGTAAGACCTGCTTCTTATGGATAATGATGCTCAAAATCCTTAAGCTACGGTATCGCATAAGAAGTATAGACGTCAGCATGTTTATTGAAATCTGATTTACTGATAATCCCAGAGCTCTTCGAAATTAACACAGAGTTTCCAGTCAGTGATCGAAAAAAATGATTGAATCAAAGAGACATGGAAAACAACGACATGTGTTCCGGACAGGGTTTATAATGCTGCTGGAAAATAGGGCGAATTTTCCGATTGAATTGAAACAGAAAGGACGCCAAATCAAATCCATGAGCTATAAGGAAAATGGCATGTTAAAGGTAATTAAGTTGGAATCAAAAGCGACCGGTTCGAAGATAGACAGGAAGCATTGGGAGAGAGATTTTTTCGATTTAGTTGTTTAATATCCGAGGAAAGTACCAAATCCTAGACGATTTCCTATAGACTCGAAAGCTTTAGATGCTAATTAGGGTGTAGAAAATGAAGGATTGATGCTGAAATACACCATTAAGGGTGGCTATTCAATAGGCTTTCCCACAAACTCCGCTTGAAGAAAGGTTTTTTGCCCTTTTCTGAGAAGAATTTCACATCAAAGGATGTTACCTCATGAATATTGCAAAAGATTGGTTATTACAAGAAGACTACCACTTCCATAGGTGAAACCAAGCGGAGTAACAAGGCTCACTAAAAGCACAGTTCACGATAACTCTGCGTTTGCTAGCTCAAGTGAAACAGTGGAAGGCATGGTGCAGAATAATTTGAACATAGTCAAGAAAGCGCAAAAATCGGCGGATTCAAGAAAGAAAGGCCGCGAAAAATTAGTGAGAAAGGCGGTTGCAAGAGATTACGCGTCTGGGTGCCTCCCACTTAAGCGTCCTTTTCCTCGGTGTGTCCTAACACTTCATTCGAAAGGGCAGTCTCAACGAGGCCGTCATAGCACGGTCGCTTATGGTTGTGCACGCCGGTCAAGCCCAATTCGGAGCCCTTATAAGCCCTGTCGGGCGTTTTTCTACTCGATGAAGTCCCAAGTGCTAGCTTTGAAGGTCAGGAGTTCATTTCAGGCGGAAATCTCGGAAAATTTATCGTGAGCTATGCCTTCGAGCAAAACTAGAGAAAAGACAACAATGTGTAATCAAGGTAAGCGTGTTGCTTAGCTGATGACATATGGACAAAATGGAGGATGTGATCGACGAACGAGCATGAAAATTATCAAAATTCAGGCAATTGATTGACGACAGTCCTATGACTCTATCACTTTGTGGGTTTCTAACGCATTGTGAAACCTTGTCCAGTACAAGCGATCTTCAAGTGGTGAGGATATTGTCATTCAGAGTCGAATGAGCAATTTGAAGTGGTATAGAGCATTGCTAGCGCATTCATTTTCATATTTATGAACCTAAGCCAAAGCCGACCGAAGGTAGCGAAGACACACGTGGGCCGGGAAAATGAATACTCGTTGCTATCTTGGGCTCGATCATATCAAGACCAGATAGCCAATGTCGTCGTGTGCTTCAGTCATCGTGATGAATCAGACTTTGACATTTCTAATGCAGAAATCGTTATGCAATCCTCGTGTGAACACATGGAATCCACCCACACTCTTCCTACTAAGCACCAGGAAGAATCCCATAGTCCAGAACTATCCTTATTGCGAAAACTGACAAAGTTGAATTGCTCTAAAAAAAACAAAGTGTTGTCCAGTGTTGGAACGACAAGCCATGAACGAAAGCTTGACAGCCGGCAATTACTAACAAAGAAGGAGCGACGTGATAACCGGAAATTGCTTCCTGTGGGAGCATTCAATTCCGAAACAGCACCAAACCTCAATTCCCAAAGTCCACCTTTTTAAAGTGGAATTCTGAAGAGCCCCTAACAAAAACCCAATTAGTCGAGAACACCAAGAACCATAGGAACCATAGGAAAAGCGNAAAAAAAAAACAAAGTGTTGTCCAGTGTTGGAACGACAAGCCATGAACGAAAGCTTGACAGCCGGCAATTACTAACAAAGAAGGAGCGACGTGATAACCGGAAATTGCTTCCTGTGGGAGCATTCAATTTCGAAACAGCACCAAACGTCAATTCCCAAAGTCCACCTTTTTAAAGTGGAATTCTGAAGAGCCCCCAGTAAATCCCCAATTAGTCGAGAATACCAAGAACCATAGGAACCATAGGAAAAGCGCACAGCAATCAATAAGACACCCATAAATGTCCGCAACTAATATATCAACCATCGTTGAATTCCAGCTGCGATTCACAAAATTAATAAAGCACATTGTTGTTGGATGAACAATAGTCATTGTTCAAATGCCGTCGATCCAAGCCTAGTTACAAGTTACTATGACAACAACACATTGGAATAGAAAATATTCCTCGTATTGTTGCCTTTTCCCGCCCCATCATTACTGTTGAAAATTACATTCCGCCACTTCCTGGAACAAAAAACCTCTTCCAAATTCTTGGCTCCGAAACTGAGTTCCAAGCAAAACTCATAAAAAATTGATAACAACAAGATTAGCCTCGTTATTAGAACCTGCTTGGACGTTATAAATCATTCAGGTGTCGGGCATGTTAGGTGAAATAATTGTTTGGTTTCTTCTCGGCACCCAGTGCAAACCCAGATGTTTAGTTTTTTATCAGGTATTAACCTCCCATTCTCAATGTCCAACTCTCCATTACCCTCCTATGAAATGGCGTAAGAAGGAACATTTTAAATCAAACCACACATGTGTTTGATGGAGGGGTAGCGGAGTTCATCGTCGTTTTACTGAGGGCCTCAAAATTCAGGTTACATTTTAGGTACTAAGCAAACATCTTTTTTTCAAAAACTGCTGTTAACCATCTGAAAAATATTCTATTCAATCGTCAGAAATATATAAATTGCTGAAAACTACTCTAATATCAAGATTCGACGTAATGAACGGTGATATTGAGGATCATCAGAATGCGTATCGGAGATTAGATGACTCTTCTTGCTCAACATTGAAACTCCTACAGTACAAAGATGTGAAGAATACTCGAAAGGAGACGACCAAACTTCGGGTATGCTCATTCTATTTATAGCCTCTACTTGGTTTAAGTACCGACTATTACAGGTTCTGATAGACTTAGTAAACTGAGAAAGGAACACTTTCAGGTCTACGTACTTGACCGAAGCCTACAAAACAGTGCCTATGCTTTCGACAAATATTCTCTTCACCAACGACTTGGTGTTTCGGGAGTAAGCTGTAATGGCCTTAATACTATCAAAAGGCTCCGACTGTTCGATGCCGATCCAAGAAAAGTCATCAGCACAAAGAAGAAATGATATAGCGAGAAGACGAGCAGAGCATTTACCAAAAGGGATCTGCAAGAGCCTTTTCAATTTCACCCATGGCGGCTCGTTGTGTCAAGACCCGCCTTCTTTGAAAAATTTTCGTCCTGATCCCCTTTCTTACAGTTGGTTGAGGACATTCCGCACGAAAGCAAAGATTAGGGTGTTGCCTCAAAGCCAAAATAAAGGGTAAAGGAAAAAGTTTTCGCCGTTAATAAAGCCCGTCTAAGGGATGCGCCTCCGCGATGGTCTTCCATTCAGAATTCAAAGTCAAAATAACGGTGAGGAACTAATCTCACTCGATTACTTGCAGTTCATTTAGTGTGATTACATTTGCGGACAGGTAAATTGAACCCAAAGTGAAGGTAAAAAGAAGGGATCAATGGTACGCGCCCAATACTAAAATAGAAGAGCGTCTTACAATCAAGACTCCATCATAGGTTTCAGAAGAAAGCGTCGAAAGGGTAGGTAAATACGTTTGAGATGCTTCTGAGAGACATTGAAGCGGAGTGGAGAACGCTCCACGCAATTAATCTATGCTGTTTTGTTTGTTTGCATAGCATAGTCGAGTTGACTATTATGAAGTTAACGTAATGATGTTGTTTATTTGCAGACCTCATGTTTCTTAAATGGATTCGAACCCACAACCACTCCTCTCTAATACCACGGTCATCCATGGCACTATCGTAATCCTACACGTCTTTCCAAAAAGTTGTGCCCTGATGTTAGTTTTACCGTAGTTTATCAACACCCTAAAAGTGGTAATTCAGTTATGGAGTGATAAATATATGCCATACTTTTTGTCCTTACCCCAACATTTCCCGCAAGGGAGTGATCATTGAGGGGAAAATGCAAAAGATGGATGATGAATGGACAAAATTGGAAAGTACATTCTTCACAGGCATCACTTGACGAATATAGCCGTCTGATTCTCGGAGGGCCTTTCCCATCGTAGCCATGAAATATCAATTTTCGAGGTCCTCCCACTTCATCATCACTTATATCAAATTCAGCACACAATATTAATGGGCAGCCACATTCGCTACAGATCTCATCTATTGATTTCCATTTTCTTTGAGTTCTTGTCCTTTTGTATCGAATAAAAAGGATCCTGTGAAAATTCCGACGATGCCACTCTTTTGAAGGTGACATCAAGGTCCACGATGTAAAATTTTGAAGCCAACACACACGTACTCCGGGCAATGACGTTAAGGAGATAATTTATTCAGAGCCAATGGCAAGGGAAACCAAATCCACTTTCTTGCCCTTGTGTTTACGCATGCCCTGCTTGATGATAGTACACAATTCGTAAGGCTCCAGCCATTATGTTCTTAATGCAATTTAGCGCCATTGTGGTATACGAACTGAATCCCTTCAAGTACGAACTGGGCCTAAAAATATTCATGGAAATGTATCCAAGGTTAGTGAGCACCAAGTTTTTGAGCAGTAGAAAACCCTTCCATGTTGTAGAGGTTATAAATCAAAAGTTCACTTCACTTGCTTTTCAGGGTTTCCTATTTTTCATTGGACACGCTAGTTGTCATTGATCGCACCTCCGGCCTGCGGAAACATGAGATTATTACAGTTTGCAAAACATTGCAAAAAACCAAATATTACAACCCCCCCCCCCCCCCCCCGAGTTCTTTGTATCACCTTAACAAATAGCAAGCCTCCTCTACTCAGGTGCCATGGCTAGAGCAGCTAAAACTTCGGTCACAACAGTAGTTGTTGACGATTAGCTAATATAAGTCCGGAGTGAATTTGAAGAAGCCTTCCTTCTTTTTTAACAAGCCGTCGCACTTTCAGTAATTACTCTGATGACCACATCAGGAAGGATTACAAATGCCGTTGAGGGACCGATAAATGCAATTATTCTTTGCTCCATAACGAAGGCATTAGCTTGATGTAAATAGACTCAATACTGAAGCGAAAAAGAACGAACTACGCAGCTGTCTGCTTTTGCTAACTTCCTAAGTTCAACCTGTCCAGTGTTCTATGGCCAGGTGTAATCGTTAGCAAGGTTCTTGGATGCAGCTGCATTCAGGATTTGCGTCTGGAATGGTTAATAATGGATAGGCCAGTCAAAGCTCATACTTCAGGGATCAGTGGGTCAACCTCCCAGCAGGTAAGAGGCCCAGGCCTAATACGTATGAAGCTATGCCGGTTCAAATTTTTTCGTGGGCTCTTCCTAATGAAAACTACCCAACATACTGAACACTATACTACCCATTATGCTCGGAAAAGCATCAACAACGCATATGCATAGCCACTGCCATTCATGGAACAAAATTACGACTTTCGCGTCATTTTGCTCAATCAAATTATTGAAATGAAAAGAAAGAGGGATCAATCAGGGGGTCGTGTTTGCTGAATTCATTTTCATGTATGGTAGATGACGGGAATGAGGTTCCTCATTGAGATCAGAACCCCTCTCTATGTAGTGTGCCCATTGAATTGGCATTCGACGTCACTGTAGATCGATCAGGGTTTGAAAGCACACGTATCAAGACTGCCCTTGGAACTCTTTCATCCCTTGATGAAATATAAGCTAACTACAGAGACTCGGATGTGGTGCGTTAGGAAAGAAACGGTCGCGTCGCGGTGAGAGGGCGTCGCGCGCGAAGGAATGTAGCAGGATGCAGCAGTAGGTAAGAAATACAGGAACAAAAGTACTAATAGTAGAATTATGCATAAAATAATGATCGCATTTCGATTGAGCTGTATGAAGAACGCTAGAGCTGTAATAACGGCGAATGAGTGGGCCGCGACAGCCGCGTGCGGCAAATCGATTACCCGAAATCGTTCCTAACGCCCGTCCCCCCCCCCCCCCCCCCCCCCTCCCTCCCGAGACTCAGATCATTCCAAGGAGCTGTTCCAGGAGAGTCATTTTCTTGGCCTATGCGAAATAAGTTTGTTTTGCTGTGACCGTAACTCAAGCTCTTCAATCGCAGATTGACCCAACCCATACCCATCTTTGCTCAAAAGCATAGAGCGACCGGCCTCAATTTTAACTGATTTATTAGGCGAGGCATGGAGTTTTTTCAAATGATGAAAAGGCGCCTCGTCATCGTCAAAATGCCATCGAAGATCCAGGGCTAACCTACTTTTCTAGAGGTAAATGGGAAATGCCGACCAAGCCAGAGTTCAAAACTGAGACGTCAGCGCACTTTTCAAGGTGTCAACCTAATCGGGGGTGGTCAGGCGATCTGTTGAGCAGCATCAGAAGCCTGAAATCGGTGATTTCTCAGGTGGATCAATACCGATGTTTTACGTGGCGGAACCTAGTCTCTACGCTAACGTACGCTCGGATGCATGCAACGAATATTTGATAGTTGTCTTGCGGTGTCACACTACGGCGACCATTATCACCTTGGAACTGCTGTCATTCAAATTTAGTCCATGCCATGCGCACTCCAATCACCCTCGAAATTTCTGGATACTCGGCCGGTGCGGCGAAGTACACCGCACGAGCACAACCTCCCGTACTTCGTTGATCTACCTAAACATGAGTGGGCAGGAGGTTCGAGGGGGGAGGGAAGCGACGAACGGACCCTGGACAGCGCCAATTTGATTCGAATGCAGCTAATAATGTATACAGAAGACAAGATTGCTTATGTAAATTTCGAACCAATACGAAGCTCTTCTTTGAAAGAGAGAAGAACTCGGATTTCGCAAGCAGAAGCAAGAACGAATGGAGTCCATCATGAGGCTTAGCTATAGGAATGGCTAAACCAGGACAGGATCAACCGCTATACAGGTGAGTGCTTCTTACTTCAAAGAAACAATTTCCTAGCCCAAGCATGTCCGTACAAAAAATGAATTTGTACAAGATAATCAGTAAATATGAATTGAGAACTGTCCGTGGGAGAGGTAGAAAAGATTTTCGAAGGCTGACATTCTCTATGACGAACCCCTTCCAGATGTTTTGTCCACACCACTAGGAATAGATTGATGGAAACCCCACGTACGAGAGTCCAATCTAATTTTCTGAGGAGAACTACTCAATGACCGCACCCCCTCTCAGGGAGTGTTGGAACGAAGGGAGGGCAGGAAAAAGGAACAATGAGAAAAAAAGCAGGAAGTCAGTGACAGATTCTATGAGGAAACAAGAAAAACAAGAAAGAAGCCTATAAAAGAATTAAAGAGGAAAAACTGCTGAAAGAAAAATGAGTGTGTTCGCCGCAGAAGCACCATACATAACCATAGCATACTTGACTCATCCGAACCTTGGTGTCGTTAAGAGCGTACTCGATCTGTATAGCTACTAGAAGAGCAAGATACACTAATTAGTCTCGTAACCCCAAGACCAGTCCGTTATCAATTGATCGGTGTGGGGAAGTGAACTCGGGTAGACTGGGTGGATACGAACCGGTGAAGGAGTCAACTATCACCATGAAAAAAAGATTGGCAGGATTTTAGTACTTCAATTTACGCCCTTGTCGGATATTCTTGCGTAATTATTCAAAACTCAAGGTGAATGCGAATACCTGCTACATACGAAAAGATAGGAGATAAGTTACAGTACTTTTCAAACCTGGTAATTGCCCATTTTGTTCGGTAAACAGGTGTGAAAATACAACAGAACTCCCAAAGTTGCTTGAAGCTTACCGTGCGCCCTCTTCAGTAGAAAGTCTTGAAGCCAAGAGGTGCCACAGTCCAAAGCATTGTCATGTGTTTCTGAAAAAAAAGCAATCGTGCATCCTCTCCTCATGCTAATATTACTAAGTTTTTCGCAAATGCGTAGGAGAGGATGAGACAACAACAACTGCTCAACCGAGAAAACCCTCGCACTCGGTTTTGCCAAACTTCCTAGCGATTTTTTCAGCCCTTCAAGAGTATAAAATCATAGTTTATACTTTAGCTGACTTTCTCAAGTCACCAAGCACACTATCAGAAGCAAACCTACAGTAAAGGGTTGAGATATTTGCATTTTATCCAACCCCATAAAAGCATTTTCTTCATGAAGCACTGTGTCTCTACTAATCACAAAAGGA